GTCCCTAGCCTTCGGTACTGCCTTTTGTTCTTTTTTTTGGTGGTGAGTTTTTTGGCCTTGTCATTTTGTCCAGATAAGACTATATGAAGGAGCAAATAAAATACTAAAAGGGGGCAAAGACCCCAGGAAAATGTGCTTTAACCAAATCAGAAGAAACCCCAAATTGTGGGGGGGGGGGAGAAAGGGGATAAAAAGAAGTTCAGAAAAAAAAAAATTAAAACAAGAAAACAAAGAAAAAAAAATATATATATATATGTATTAGACGGTGAGTAGAATAGGGTCACCCACTTAATTTTGGGAGTATTTTGGGTCTTAGAAGAAACTACCTCACAAAATTTTAAAGAATAAAAAACATATATAAGGGTAAACACAATGAAGGGATGGAATATACCCATAAAGATGAAAAAAAATTTTTTTTTAATTTCTAAAAAGTTGATTAAGTTGGTTGGGAGAATTAAGAAAAAGAAAGTGGAGAGAATTTGCTCGGGCTGGAGACTAGAACAAGCCTGCAGCTAGGTTCAGGGTATATTTTGATCTATTAGAAGAAGTTGTACCCCAAATTTTTTAGAAGGAAAAACCCTATGTGTATACAAAAAATGAAGTTAGATACAATGAAGGTTAAAATATAATAAAGGTTCAAAAAAGATTATTTTTTTATGAAAGGTATTGTTAAGATAAACTAGTTAAAAACATTAAAAGAGGAAAGGGTAAAAGTTTAAAAAAAATTAGCAGCAGAAAAAAAATAAAATTTAAAAAATTAATTAACTGCAAGACTAAAGAATCATGGGGAGAAAGCCATGAATTCCATGCTTTGCTTTCTCCTCCTCTGGAATTCTGCTGCTCTCCTTGGTAAGTGAACTTGGTCTTGGCTGGATTTCTTGTTGATCTTCTGGGGTGGGGGGCTGTTGTAGTGATTCTCAAGTGTCTTTGCTGGAGGCGGAATTGCACCGCCCTTACCAGGGGCCAGGCTGAGTAATCCGCTCGGGTTTGCTTTCAGGAGCTTTTGTTCCCTGAGCGCTTTCCGTAGAGTCCGGAGGACGGGAATGAAGATGGCGGCCTCCCAGTCTCTGGCTCGGAGGAGCAGAGAGCTCAGGGCCCCACTCCTTAGTGCGCCCTCAGAGAAAAAGCGCTCAATCACTCCCGTCACCCTGGCCTCCGGCCGCACTCTGAGCTGATCAAGCCTGCAACCGGTTGAAGGTAAACCCGAGCTGAGAGCTCACTCCTCAGCTCTCTGTAGCCAGCTTCCCCGCTCTAAGACCTGTGAGCTCTGCGACACTCAGACACCCCAGATCCTTCTGTGCCCCCACGGGACCTGGGGCCACGCTGACCCTGCATGGTCTTCACCCGCATTTAGTCTCTGGAGCGATGTCACTCAGTGGAGCAGACTTTTAAAAGTCCTGATTTTGTGCTCCGTTGCTCCGCTGCTTGCCGGGAGCCGGCCCCTCCCCCCGTGGTCTATCTTTCCGTCGCTTTGGATTCACTTCTCTGTCGGTCCTACCTTTCAGAAAGTGGTTGATTTTCTGTTTTTGGAATTGTTGTTCTCTTCAATCTCCCGTGGGATTTATAGGTGTTCACAATGGTTTGATAAGCTATCTAGCTGATCTCTTGCTACCTGACGTCATCTCAGCCTGCTACTTCTCTGCCATCTTCTGTAATTCCTCCATTTCAGCATTTTGAGTGTATCACACCACTCCTTTCCGGCCTGCAACCTTTTTGCTGAAAAATCAGCTGATAGCCTTGTGTGGTTTCTTGCTGCTTTTAAAATCTCTATCTCTATTTTTTGCCATTTTAATTATGTGTCGTGGTGTGGACCTTCTTGGGTTGATTTCATTAGGATCTTTCTGTGCTTTTTGGATCTAGATATCTGTTTCCTTCTCTAGACTCAGAAAGTTTTCAGTTTATTATTCAAATAAATTTTCTTCCGTTTCCGCTCTTCTCCTTCGGAGATCCTTATAATGTGAATGTTAGTAAACTTGATGGTGTTGCTAAGATCCCTAAGTCTATATTCATTTTGTATCATTTTTTTCTCTTTCTCCTGTTCACCTTGATTGCTTTCCATTACTCTATCCTCCAACTCACTGTTTTTCTGTTTCCTGTAGTCTCTTTATTCCATCTAGTATATTTTTATTTCATTTATTGAGTTCATCTCTATTTTTTTTATGTTTTTTGTCTCATGGTTAAGGGTCTCACCGATGTCCTCCACTCTTTTCTCATATCCACTGAGTTTATGGTCAGTACTTTACATTCTCCTTCAGGCATATTATCTCCATTTCAGTTAGGTCTCTGGCTGTGATTTTGTCCTATTCTTCCATGTGGATGTGTTCCTTCATCTCATTTGTCTCTGTTTCTATGTATTAGGAAAGTCAGCTCTTCTGCTCCTGAAAGTAGTGACCCTATGAAAAAGAAGTCCTATAGTGTCCTGCAGTGCAGTGGCCCCTGTTCACCAGAACCTGGCACTTCACGGGTGTGTCCTGTTTGTGTTGAATGCATCCTGCTGTTGTGACTGAGCCACTTTTCCTTCAGTCCAGTCATCGCACTGGCTCTCTTTGCCTGTTGTCAGCTCTGGTTTGGTCCTTGTGCTGTTAGTGAGCCAGTCTTGGGCCACCTTGGGCTTGAGTCAGACCAGGCATTTGCCAGAAATATAGTAACACTGAACTCAGGGCACTTTCACTCTTTTGTCTCCTGAGAAGTATTTGTTCATTGCTGAGCAGGGCCTGCAGTCAGACCAGATGTCTGCCCTCAGCACACTGCTGGAGCTGGAGCTGGACTGGTGTGTATGGGATTCTTGCCCCCTTTCCCAGGGGCAGACATCACCTTGGGAGTGGTGCTGGCCTCCGGCAGAGCTGCTTGTACACAGCCAAGCTTATGGCTTTGCTTGGGATGGGCTCCACCCCAGGGTGGGGGGGCAGATCTGCTGAAGTGCACAGGGGCTGGATATGTGATGTGAGCAAATTTTGTCCTGGTCTGCTGTAGGAGAGGCCTGCAGCCACCAGAATAAAGACAGGCCAAGTTGGAGAGGATGGATCCGCCTAAGTGCAGGATGTGGGGTTGGGGTGGAGGGGTTGCTGGGCAAGATGCACAGTATTAGCAAGTTATGTAGGGATTGTCCTTGCTGCTCTGGTTCCCACAGATAACTATGTTTATACTGGAGAACAAGGGAGGGAAATGGCACCTGCTTGTTCCTGTGTTCCTGGAGAAGTCTGCCAAGGATCCCTGCCTCTCCAGCACATGCCCTGAAGTTAGTAAACAAGTATAGTTCAGGCATTTTTTCAAACTGCTGCTCCTTTGCTGTATCTTCATGGGCCTGTTTGTTGTGCTCCTTAAGAGAAAATGAATCTCTCCAGGCTCTCCCAGAGCCAATCCTGCTGATTTTTAAAGTTCTAGGTTTTAAGACCCACTGACTGTAAGAATTCATGAAATTTGGCCTTTCTTATTTTCAAAGGCAAATTCATCTTCCCCATGCAGGCTTCCCACTGTGAGGTCTGTTTCTCCCTCTTCTCTACCCCTATGTGTCCCTCCCCTCTGCCAGCAGTCCAGTAGTCCATGGAGCACCCAATAGTAGTCTTATCCTGTTAGATGTGGTCTCTTCTCTATACTTAGCTATGGAGAATCTGTTCTGCCAGTCTATGGGTCATTTTCTGAGTTACTTACACGGAGGTGGCTATCATCTAGTTCTATCTGTGGGACGATGAATTTAGAGTCCTCATAATCTGCCATCTTCCCTGGAAGTCCCTGGAATTAATTTTTTAAAGACATCTTTGTATTTGTCTCCCATCCTCCCATAAGTTTATGAATCTGTCCCCTCCTCCTTTCTACCTTAATTTGGGTCTTTGTTATTACTCACCAAGCAATTTCACCACCTTTCTAGCTTTTCTTCCTGTGTTGTATTATTGTTCCCCATGGGATAACTCACACCACCACCAGGATCTTTTAAAACCCACCTCTAACCCTGATATCTCTCTGTTTTAAACCCTTCAGTGGTTCTTCATTGCTCCAAGATTAAATCCAGACTTCATCCCAATGTGTCTTTTCAGCAGACCCCCCAATCCAGCTCCTCCAAAACACATCACATAGCCTTTTAGCCACTCTCAGGCTGGTCAGAGAGTTGCAAGGGACAAATCTGTCTGTCCTAAATTGGAAAAGCAAACAAACAAAAAAATGACAATTATGGCTAGAATTGGACTCTCAAAGTTGGAGAGAAAATTGAGGTGTGCGTGTGTGTGTGTGTGTGCGCGCGCGCGCACGCGCTTACATGTGTACGTGTGAGAGAGAGAGAGGAAGCCAGTGGGCCCCGGCAAACCAGAAGTGTGTGTGTGTGTGTGTGTGTGTGTGTGTGTGTGAGAGAGAGAGAGAGAGAACGAACCATGGGCACTGAGAAACCAGAAAACTTGCAGCAGTCAATCCAAGGATGGGATAAGGCCAGGAATTTGGAAAGAGCTATATGGAGGCAGACAGGATAAATTCAAAGAGCTGAACTTGAGGTCAAGTACAAATGTACGCGTTCAACATTTTTTGGAACCATAAGACAACAGATATTCATGTCTATAATATACTGAGATGATTTTCATGATACCAAACCAGAAAATTTAAAAATTATGTCAAACAATACAGACATATCGAACTAATCAGTTCTTCACAAAACTTTCATTTTCATGCAGGCACCATAGGTGTTTTCCATAGGAATAGGTAAGATTGTTTCACACCATATACAGAGATAATTAGAACAATTAGTTTGCTTCTTGGGACACCTGTGTGGCTGTTGGTTAAGCATCTGACTCTTGATTTCAGCTCAGGTCATGATCTCAGTGTCATAGATCAAGTCCCATGTAGGGCTCCTTGCTCAGCTTGGGCCATGCTTGAGATTCTCTCCCTCTGCCTCTCCCACCACTTGAGCTTGCTCACACTCTCTCTCTAAAATAAATAACTAGAATCTTTAAAATTGGTTTGCTTCTTGTCTTTAATTTCCCATGGCTACTTACAAATTTTCTTTTCCATTTCAGTATTTCCATACAGAAGCTTTCCAATGAATCTCGGTACATTATTTATGAGTTTTGGGAGAACAGCAGTGTGTGGAATAGGTAAGTAACACCAGGATTTTTTGGGGGGTAGGGCAAGGAGGGGGAAATATACATGATGTTTTTAGAACTTGTAGGAAAAGCTCTATTCCCTTTACCTCACCTCAAAATCTATCCCATATGTTCGTTTTCCTAAATCCCACCCTTTTAAGAATTTATTTCATGGATTAGAAACCCTTCTCTTCTTGAAGCACAAATACTTTTGGTAATGATGCTTCTTGAAGTATAACCACTTTACTGATACTGTCAAGTAAGAGTTAGATATGGGTCGTGTGTGTCTTAAGTGCTAGGAGGTTGGGAGGACAAAGGACACAGAAAAGGAAGGATGAGAAAATAATTTTACTTTCTAATTTTTCATAAACTTTGTCACATTTTACTTTACAGTAAAACTATAACAGTTAACACCATCATGGCTTAATTTTTCTAAACAAATTTCTCAACAAAGTTAAACCAATACACCTCTTTTAAATTAAGATAATTACAAATAGGTAACGTACAATTGGAAAAATGGGATGAAGAAAATTATTGCTATTGAGATTATATAGTACTAGTTCATTTTAAATGGCAGAGAATACAGCCCTCTAGTAAGCCCATATTTAAGATTTTAAATATGGTAATGAAAGTAATAGAATACCTGGAAATTTAGTTATACATATTTCACCTAAAAGTTTTATTTCTGTGACTATTTTAAAACTATAATATATAATGACACCAATAGAATTTTAAACACAGAAGGGAGCTTTAAAGCCAACTTACTTAATTCTGTACTCTAGGCCTACACTTTGAGATAGATGATCTTTTTTCCCCTAGAGAGAGAAAAATCTATAGTCTTTCCTCTTAGCTATCCTATTTTGAAATCATTCTGACAGCCAATATATTCTTTTTTCTGTTTAAGCTACCTTCTGCAATTAAAGTCTTTCTCCTTTTATTTTCCATGGGAATTAATGTTCTTATTCTTATTAATTACATTTATATATAATAATTAACATATTACAATCTTATTATTATATATTCTTATTATTGAACTTTTAAAAGTCTTCAGAAATTTTTTGTTTTTTAAGGCCAAATAACCATAAAAAGTCTATATTCAGACACTTAATCCAAATCATCCAAAACCTTGCCACTGTGACTGAATTCGATCTGTTGTACTCTACTTAGATTATAAAAGAAGCGCACAGCCTTAACCTGTAATTATTTATACAGCCACCTTCAGACGAATTATAGCAAGACATTCCAAAGAAGCAACGTGGACTTCTTGGAAACTCCAGAACTCACATCTACTATGCTAGTTCCTGGTAATTATCCTGATTTCAGTGCTTATATGCTTTTGTATTGTCTTTTGCTTTTAAAAGATGTATTTCTTACCCCCAAACTTGATCAGTGGTGCTCTCTTTATTAGATCTTAAAATCTAAAAGTGGGGGGGAGGAAATAGATCTATATAGTCTATTGCCTTTACTACTTAGTTGATCCTATTTGTATTCCTGGCTATATTAAACCTAGTATTAGTCATTTTTTTCTAGTCACATATAGTAAGTAATCTCACAAACTTGGAGTCAAATCATGTCATGTCCAAAAAAATTTATTCAAATGTTTTACCATATTATAATTTAGTGTACTGAATAAATTTGAAATGTGTGACCCATAGATTGCAGATTAGAATTATGCTGGAAATATTTTTAATAGCTATTAAAATATTATTTGTAATTGGAGGAAAGCAGAATGGAAAGAGAAAATTGAAATTGTCTAAGAAGTTTCACCTAGCCGTGGCTTAAGAAAATTGAGAACCAAAATTCATTTGTTCATCTACCCTTCCAGTCACCAATTAAATATATTTACTGAGTGTTTTATGGGTTAGGTACTGAGGATACTGGGATGCTTAGCTTTACTTGTGCTAGTTCCAATTTTGAGTAAACATTATGTTGGGAGCTAGAGAGAGTGCAAAGTAAAAATTCAGTCCCTTCCCATAAAATACTGTTCAGTAGGAAAGACAAATGCTTGCAGAAAAAAACGAGCTCCAGCATAACACAGTAGTTACCACTGGTGTCATAAGATGCAGGTGTATTTAGAGAAGGGATTGCTTTTTAACAGTTTTTTGTTTTTTTTTTAAATATCCCTTGGCAAATGAGAGAGGCCTGTGGCTACGAGAAAAGAAGATACACATGAAAGTTAAGATCCTATTACCAACTAGTATATTTCTTAAATAGCTTTGCAAATTTCAGACCTTTCTATTTGTCTGTTTCTCACAGCATTCCATCAATCTTACTTCATTGCTATAGATTTGACTTTGGGATGTTTATATTCACTGGGGAAAACATTTTCAACCTTACAACATAGGTACACTATATTTAAAACACAGTTGCTTCTACCCAATCTTCTACCCAATCTACCAGTTGCTTCTACCCAATCTTTCCAAAATTGTTATGTAAAAGTATCTTACATTCCCAAACTGCTGCTAGTACTGGGAGGATTAAAACAATAGGATTTCATCCTCCAGAGAGGACTCTGGAGTTGGAACTTAAAAGGTGAGTTGGACAAATAAAGATGGAAGAGACTTTGCTAGAAGTAAAATGTAGACATGAACAAATGTAAGATGTTAATGTTCTTGGCTAATTGGTACAAAGGTAAGAATAAGGTATAAGGCTAATACAGGGTACATGTAGAGAGAGAATAGAGTAGGAAATCAGGTTGAAAATACAATGAATTTGAACTTAGTAATATGGATTCGTTAAAGGTTTTTGAGAGGCATAGTGAATGCTCTAATCAGTAGTAACTGGCAGGAGGGAGAAAGGTGGATATCATGGAGAGGTGACAGATTGGTCAGGTAGGGCAATAATCTAGGCCAGGAAAGAGAAGGCATCTGAACCAGGAGCTATCCAGAGAGTTCCCTTGCCAATACAGTTTTCAGGAGTTAACCATGGCAAGATATTTGAAGCCTGGGTTTAATGAGAAAGGGTATAGATAAGAACAACTATCTGACAAAAGCATAGGAAAATGCCTTTATTTAAAAGGGAAGGAAAAGCCTCTGTTGTTAAGGAGACAGAGGGGAACCACTCAGAGGTGGAGAGTCAGAGTAGTCAATTAGCAAGGAAGCTGAAAGAGAAATACCATGCAAGGCACAGTGCTTGTCAGGGGCCTGTGTAGTGGGGTGGGACTGAAGAGAATGGGACTGAAACCTGGATTTGACAAGAGGTCACTGTTCAAGAGAACAGTTTTAATACAGTGGTAGGATAGATTTCGATGGATTAGGGAATAAATGGAAAGTGAAATGGTAAATTCTAGAATTGAAGGTAGGTAAGGAGATGGGGGAGATCAGGTGTGAATGTTTTCCAGTCAGCAGCCTACCATCTCTGCCCGAGCTTTAGGTATATACTTACTCTAGATCTTAAGAACACGTTTATGGACTTACAGAATTTCCCTTGCTTATATCTCAGACTTAATACTCAAATAAGAAAGCCATGAATATGGCTGAAATTTTTCTGTTCTCTTTCTCTCTCAGAGCATTCCCTAATTTGGGAGAGAAAAGTTGGGCACAAATAATACTGGATCAATTCTTATTCTCAGAACCCAAATTCAGTACAGTTCAATGCCTTTTTTGTTAACCTATTTTGCATTAATTTCCGTATCACATCTAATTTCAGCAGTGACCCCTGAAGTTTGGAAGAACAAAAAGAAAAGATAGGTCTGATTTCTAAATCTCCCTCAAGATTTTTAATATCTACTTGGGGCATTGCATCCTTTTCTTTGTTTGAATGTGGAAGTTTTATAAATTGCAACAGCAGACACACCCCTGGACAAACACCTGGAATTAGCTTATAAATATTATTTAAAGTTTTAATGGCCATATGACTTCTAATATTTTTATTTTTTGAGTTTTCTACTAATATTTTTATTTTTTGAGTTTTCTACTAATATTTTTAGTAACCAGTCTTATGGTTACTGAATTTTGTTTGTTATATGGATATGAAGGTTAAAAATAAAAACAAAAGCATTTTCAGCTGTACATATTTAGACCTAAAATAAAAATCTGAAAAAAAATACCTATTATAAAGAGATGGGTAGGTTTGTATTTTTAATTTAACTCACAAATTACGATTTCTGGTAAGACTGCTTTTTTATTAAGTTTCTAAGTGGTTTACTGAAGAAACATCTTAAGAAATATATTGCTATGGACTCTCAAATATCAAAATCATTCAAATGAGGCATACTGAAGTATAGCCAAACAGGCCCACTAGCCATCATAAAATACCCAGACCAAAATATAAAGAATTCAGTCTGTGGAGCAGAATATCCCTTGGCAAATGAGAGAGGCCTGTGGCTACGAGAAAAGAAGATACACATGAAAGTTAAGATCCTATTACCAACTAGTATATTTCTTAAATAGCTTTGCAAATGTCAGACCTTTCTATTTGTCTGTTTCTCACAGCATTCCATCAATCTTACTTCATTGCTATAGATTTGACTTTGGGATATTTATATTCACTGGGGAAAACATTTTCAACCTTACAACATAGATACACTATATTTAAAACACATCCAGTTGCTTCTACCCAATCTTTCCAAAATTGTTATATAAAAGTATCTTACATTCCCAAACTGCTGCTAGTACTGGGAGGATTAAAACAATATGATTTCATCTTCAGGGCATTTACAATCTCATTGCCAAGATAAGCTCCATTCATACATAACAAAGTATGACCAAGTGCCAAAAGACCTGGTACAAATATTGCATAGGAAGAGTTCAATCTTGGTTCAAATAGTAAATAGTGACTAACTTGAAAGATAATTATGCAGACTAAAGGTGGGAGAAAATAGTCTAAGAATGATTACACCTTGACTAACTTAGCCCTGGCAATTATTTTCATTTAATAATAGTTGTTTTTCTCTTTTCAGCTTCATGGTGGATCCTGAACAACTAGATGTTCCTAGACATTTTATGGTTCCAAGTGCAAAACAAGTATTCTTATTGAAAATGTGAATTAGAAAATTCTCTGCAGTTACTAATCTACTCTGTACTTTTGTTTAATATATTTAAGATGTGCACTCTTCTAAAATGTCTTCTCTTTTATGTGAAGTTTACCTAAATTTTTGAAGTTCACTATTCTGTCTTTGCTGTTTTGCTACATTGTAACCTAAACCCTTCAGTGGCAGAATCTTAATATGTGAAAAAAGTGTACACATAAAGGAAAAAAAGTGTGAAAAAGAAATGATAAAAAATAATTGAAGTGGGAACTTTTAGAGTATCACTTCATAGGATAGCTTTTGTAGATTTGTCATAAACTATCAAGGTTAAATCAGTGTTTTGTCATTTTTAAGTAACTGATTTTCTGTGAAGTTTATTCTTTGGTAGTGCTCACTCCATTACCAATTCATGATCTTGTAAGTATTCACTTTACTGAAAAAGCTAATATGTGACCCAAAATGGTGTCCTTACGTGCAGAGAGAGCGAAAGAAGGTACACAAAGAAAAGGCCACGTGAGGACACAGTAAGAAGATACCAACAGCAAGCCAGAAGAGGCCTCAGAAGAATTCAGCCTTGCTAGCACCTTGATCTTGGACTTCCAGGCTCTAGAACTGTGAGAAAATACCTTTCTATTGTTTAAGCTAAAAAAAAAAAAAAAAAAAAAAAAAGTTAATACATGAGCATACAATAGTCTTGGCTGTAATCTATAGACTCTATATACCTATCATGTTATAAACTGGTTTTTCACAAATGAACAATTCTGTGATAGGGTACCATTTGGTACTGTAACACCATTATATCATTTATTATAGCATCATAATTATATGTAAGTTCAACAAATCAAAAAAAATAGAATTTTACTTTGAGAAAATTTGATTCAAATTTTTTGGCATATGAGCCAGAGGACTAATTTACTTCTGGAAAATAGACATTTGCATTTAAATAATAATTTCAAATAGTTAAATAATAAAATTTTAACCTAAGTAAATGAAGAAATACAAAACAAGCACAAAATTTTAAGAGCATTCCCTCTTCCCAGGTAAGATACTGGACAGAAAACCTTTTCCAGTTTTAACACTAGAATGACAATTCTAATTTCACCAGAACAGTTGGTGTGTTCTGTGTACCTAGTACACTTTGCTATACAGGCTCATATAGTTTTAATAAAATCTATTCTGATAAATGCTGCTAATAAAAATCCAGTGCATATTAAGTCTGTTTCTCTGTTATTCTATAATCCAAATTCCTTTGAAACCACAGGTCTTCAAGGAAAAACTGTAAGGCAATTTTTTTTTTTTTTTTACTGTTGGAAAACTCAGATTGAACTAAATTATATTTTTAAATATAAAATTTGACCTAAAATTTTCTCAAATTAGCTTCTATCATAAGTTATACCTTTGTATACGCCTCAGTCCTCATCCATCTATTTTTTTCATAACTTCTACAAGACAAGGGCAGTAAATTTTGACATATACACACAGACACACACACATATATAGTCATTTCTAAAGATGACAAACACTATGAAACAACACCTGGCTCAACTCTTTTAATTTATATACAAAGCAGAGAACATTAATGGAGATGTACAATGATTACTCAAACAAGCTATACATATGTACAAAGGCAAACAGATAATAAAACAGACTTTGCAGTCTCACTCTGATTATATACAGTGACTTTTGACATAAAACTCTTTGAAAAGGTTGGTTATGAATGGTTTCAAAAAATACAAATTATAGCCAATCAAAACATATTTCAGTATTAGATTCAGAAAGTACCTAAGTCTCTTAAGTGTGAGGCAGTTTGAAAAGTACCATGGTGGTATGACTTTAAAAAGATTTCTGCCCTCAGTGACAGTGCTGAGTGGAAGAGCTCTTTAGATTCCAAACTAGAATAAGTTCTTTTATCATTTTTTTAAACTAGAGTCCAAAAAAAAAAAACCAAACCTTTGAGAACAGGCAAATAATAAACCAATTTAATTATGGTAATACTGACCTCAGCTCTTATACAAATTATACATAAATTGTTATGTGTGTGTGTGTGTGTGTATGTATATACACACTGGAACCTATAATAATATAAAGGGAAAACAGGACAAAAAGTAAATCTGCGCCCTAGAGGTTTAAATGTATCATTTTTAAGTAACCAGGAAATTTATGGTTTTAGTGTATTTTTTTCCCCCCTGGGAAGCGAAGTAATGAAAAGTAGTGTACTAAAAGACCAAGATGGGAAGCCTACCATGGACTAAAGCTTGAATCCAGGTAAAAAGCCCAAAGACCAGTGAAGAAAAAGGTACTGGTTTTAGGAGTTCAGAATTCAGTTTATGATAAACTTTCTGGCAAATGAGGGTCTTGAACGCTTTGCCCGTAGACCTGGGGATTTCTGAGAATAGAATTAGGGAGAGTTTACACTTACCTTTATATCAGCAATTTTTTTTGACACTATGCTGGAAGAAACTCTTTTTTTCAATAGTAACGTCCAGAGTGACAAAATGCAGGAGATTTATTATATAAAATTTCTAGGAGCTAAAATCTTAGCCCCCAAATTCTTCATCCATACATGTTCTTGTCATAAGAAATTAAAGAATTGAAACTTAATGTACCTCAATTACTTGCCTAAATCTTTCCTCTTTTGGAAAAAAAATCAGTATTAATTTGCAATTGCCTAACTTCTTCTGTTCATGGAGTCTGATTAGAGACAACAAGTAGCAGCTATTTTTCACCTTGAATTTCATTGTTTCCAAATGGTCACTCTCTGCTAGTAATCATGAATATTGAACAATTTTATCAAAAACTTAGAGACCAAAGAAATGCCTGTTAAAATATTCTCCTTCCTGTCATTGAGAACTATGCATTGACATCCTGGGTCATTTTAAGCCTCTGGAGAGATTGTAAAGATCCTTTCAGAGTGCTGGTATGAAATTAGTGGAAAACAGAACAAAAGCCAACTTTAGAAGCAACAAGAAATTATGTACCATATATACATCATAGCAAATACTTTATATTTGAGAATCTTTACAGCTTACATTTCCATTCCATTATTACAAGAGATGAAAAACAAAAAATTGCAAGTAGCATGCAAATTATAAATACAGCCTTCCCTACTAACCAAATTCTTACTTTCCAGTGTTACTTCCCAATTTATGCAGGAAACTGCCTTGCAAAGCTGAAACTGATTAGAAAATTCTTTATAGTTTAAAATATTTCTCATTTTAGGAGAAACCAAATACCCAACCATCAAAATTAAAAATAAACTGAATTGTCACAGTCCATTACAGTTATTGTTACTAGATCCACTTCATTTGCAGGTGTCCAAAATAGAAAACAAATAATTCTTTATCTTCAATTCATTTGTTCTTAAAATGCTACTTAAAACTTTGGTGGTTTTCCTGTAACATAGAAGAAAAAGTTAATTTATCAATTAGATTGAAAAGATACAGTTTTGACTACTTAGTTTATCAAACCAAATACTGTGATTCTATTAAGTGTTTACAGATCTTAAGTGCATGTTACTATACAAAGTATTAAAGTAACTGGAATTTGTCAAAACAGTTCTATGTTTAAAAAAATATGTAATTCATTTTTAAATATATTAGATCATATTCCAAACCTATTCTGTTTTTGTGGTACCTGGCTTGTTCAAAATAATGTGTCTAAATTTTATTTACAAAATAAAATATTAGAGATGAAATAGGTGTGCAAATGAAAAAAATGACCATATTTTATATAGCATTCAAGTTTAGATTTATTCATACATATGCCTACGATTTTTTTCTAAACAGGTGGGATAATTTGAACATTAAGAACATTTCTCATGATAAAATATTCCTATGTGCAAGGTATTAATGAAAAAAACTTAAATTTCTCACTGAACTGACTAGTTCTACAAGTTTGGAATTTTAAAAAGAGGCTTTGTATTCCAAATGGTTGGAAAGCACAGGAGAGGTTATATCTCCCATATGAGCCATTCTCAGCATACTTATATTTTGAGTTCATCTCAATAGAATATTTTTACCCATATAAAAAAGATTGTGAAAACTTTGAAGTCAAACTCTAGTCAAAATGGAAATAAAGGTAATTTACTAAGTGCATAATAAGCACAGAATACTATCCAAATCCTGCTATACATTATCAACCTCATCTGCCATCACAAAACTAAGGTTTCAAGGTTAAATGACTTAAGTTTGAACACTGTACTAATGCACAAGGTGAAGCTGCAATTTGAACCCAAGTGTGATACCAACACTCCTGTCGTTTCCAATCAATGTACTGAAAGATAGGTGTATTTATTGTATTTATTTTGATGAAATCTGATGCAGTGACACAAATATAAGACACTAAGAACAGCAAAAACACACTGAAGAATAAGTGGGGTGACTTGTTTTACTATATAAAAAGATAAATTGAGAAGAGTAAGGGCCTAGAAACACACCACACATATATTGCCACCAGGGTAGCAGAGGACTGTTCTTTGAGTAAATATTGCTAGGATGACTGGATATCCATGTAGAAAAAAATAAAACTTGACCCCTACTTTACATCATAAAGTAAAATCAACTGCAGATGGATTACAGAACTTAAAAATAATAGAATTTTTAGGCTCCTTATCTTTCAATGCAAAAAATATTTCTTAAAATATAATTCCATTCTATTTCTTGGCCAGAGTGGTAATTACTTACAGTAATTAGTTATACATGTAATGAAAATTTAGAACAGGAAATTAGAGAATTGATTACATTTACTATAGCGCCAAGAACCATAAGACACCTTGGAATAAACATAACCAAGAGGTAAAGGACCTGGACTCAATGAACTACAGAACACTCATGAAAGAAATTAAAGAAGACACCAAAAGATGTAAAAGCATTCCATGCTCATGGATCAGAAGAATAAACATTGTTAAAATGTCTATACTGCCCAGCGCAATCTATACTTTCAATGCCATCCTGATCAAAATTCTACCAGCATTTTTCAAAGTCCTAGAATGAACAATCCTAAAATTTGTATGGAACCAGAAAAGACCCTGAACTGCTAAGGAAATGTTGAAAAAGAAAAACAAAGCTGGGATTATATTATACATTTGGATTTACGGACTTTTCTGAATTATATTCCACAATAAAATTAAAATCTAGGGAAAGAATCCAGTGAAAATACTAAGGACAAATATTTTAGAATTAATATAAAATTAGGAAACTACTTACTGGTTTTTGAAGTACAATGGGATGATCAGGCAGAAAGTCTGGTTTTTTTCTGCAGATGGAAACGCTTGAGAGCTTCAACAGGAAATCTCTGCTGTATTTAATTCTCTCTATAGATATTAAACATCAGATGTAATGTTATAAAATAACTCTCCCAGAACACTTTTTGGCTCACTGTTTTCTGAATGTCCCTTAATAATCCATTATTTTATAAAATGATGAGTAGTTTCTATGCAAAAGAGAGGAGAAGCAAAAAATTTTGACAAGTAGCTACTGCTTCCTTTTTTCCCTTTTACATGGAAAGGAATCCAAGTAAACAAGGAAAAATGGGAGAAAGAAACGTTTCAGAAAATCAGTAATGGATGCATGGTTTCTTTCATCTAGTTATTCATATCTAGTGAAGGGATCTTAAAAAGTTTAATGGCAGTAATATGTGTTGGGCAATTCTGATCCTGCCAAAATAGAACCCCAATAAGCCTATTTGGTCTTCATATTAATTTACTTAAAATGTAATACAATCAAAATAAATTCAAGAAAAATTTATTGTATATCTACACATCAGAGAGTGCTAGGTAATGGTGAAAAAGATCCAAGATAGGGTCCCTATCTTTAAAGGAGAATAAAAACAATGCTTCACATATCTGCATATTTCTCATCAGAAACTATCACCATAAAAGATCACTTGCTGAGCCAGAAACAGCAGAGCAGTATCTTTAAAGTGCTAATAGAAAAGAACGGACAAATTAGAATTCCATATTGTGAAACAACAACAACAAAAAAATCTACTGGTCTCCATCCCTGGTTCTTTGCACAAAGCTCCTAAAACCCTTTTAATTTTGTTAAATGATAAGAATACTTGGAGCATCTTTTGTTCTAGTATTTGGTTTTTTACCCTACTTCCTGACATATAGCTCTTAAATCCCTTGGATTTTCCTGGGTGAAAGAAATGCCCTTCGTTCTAATGAGGTGACTTCTGGTGGCCTTCTGGACAGAGGCTGGTCAACAGAAAGATCAAGCCATGATTAGAAGCTTAAGACTTTCAGTCCCACCTCCAACTCTTCCTAGAAGGCGAAGGGCTGGAGACTGAGTTAATGATTAATCATGCCACATGATGATGCCTCCATAAAAATCCCCAAAGTATGGGGTATGGAGAGCGTCTGGGTTGAGGAACACATCCATGTACCCAGAGGGTGGCACACTCCAATTCCACAGGGATAGAAGCTCCAGCACATGGGACCCTTCTAGATCTCACCCCTACATATCTCTTCCTTCATCTGTATCCTTTATCATATCTTTTATTATATAATAAACTGGTTAAGTGTTTTCCCTAAGTTCTGTGAGCTGTTCTAGCAAATGATCAAATCCAAGAAGGGAGACTTAACCTCTAATTTAGAAGTTTTGAGTAATCTGGGGACCTACTACTTACAACTGTCATCTGAAATGGAGTTGTGTGAAATTGAAACATGTGAGATTAAAAGACATTTTCAGAAAAGAAAGAAAACTAAAAATGTGTAACTAGTAGTTAGTCTACAAGAAATGCGAAAGGAAGTTTCTCAGGTTGAAAGGCAGTGATACTACACAGAAACCTTAATACTCAGAAATGAAGAATAAAAGAAGGGTAAATAGCTGAATAAATATAATGGTCTTTTTTCCCCTCTAAATTTTATGTGTGTGGTTATTGAAAGCAAAACTTATGACACTGTCTAGTGGAGATATGATACAATAACAGCAAAAAGGTCAGGGCAATGGAGTGGAGGGAAGAAACCTACACATGGTTTCAAGGTTTTACCATCACCATTCTGCATGTAGTAGTATAATATTAACAAGTACACTGAGATATTATAATCCCTAGACAAACAACTTAAAAAATATAAAAAAATATAGCTAAAAATCTGATATAATCAAATACCAACAAAAATTCAAAAATACCCAAAAGAAAGCAGAAAAAGGAAAAAAGGGAAAAACAGGACAAACAGAAAATAAATAATGAAAGGCCTTAATCCAATTATATCACCTTAAATGTTAATGGTCTAAACAAGGTGTCAACAAACTTTTTTCTGTAAAAGGCCTAACAGTAAATATTTGAGAGTTTTGGGACATAAAGTCTCTGTCACAACTGCTCAGTATAATAGTGCAAAAGCAGCTACAGAAAAAGCATGTGGCTGTGTTCCAATAGAATTTAATTTCCAAAACAGGGATTTGAACTAAGGAACATGGTTTGCTCTTAGGTTAAACACTGTGATTAAAGGCCGTAAACTGACACAATGGATTAAAAAAAGAAAACCTTACTATTATATGCTGCCTATAAGACATACATGGTTGAAAGTAAATGGATATAAAAATATATACCATGCAAAAAGTAGGAATAAGAAAGCAGGAATGGCTATCTTAATATCAGCTAAAGAGAGAATTATTGATGTGCTGTGCCAAATGACAAAGTGTCAAAATACATAAAGGAAAAATGACAAAAGAAATAGACAATTCCACAAAAATATCAAGTAATACAAAATTATCTCCTCAGCGCTTTATAGAACTAGACAAAAAAAATCAGAAAATACTAAGATCTGCACAATATCAACCACCTTGATTTAACTAACAGTTACAGAAACTATATCAACAACTGCAAAATACAGATTATTTTCAAGTAGACATGATAGACTCACCAAGACAACCATGTGCTGGGCTATAAAACAAGTCTCAATGAATTTAAGGGGCTTAAAAAAAAAAACCTCAAAATCAAACAAGAAGACATTATAAATAATACCATACAAAAAATCATACATAAGAGAACTCTATGAACAATTATCCATCAAACAAGTTTGACAGCCAGTAAGAAATGGACAAATTTCTAGAAATATAGAAGCTATCAAAACTGAATCACAAAGAAGAGAAAATGTGACAAATTATTAGTAAGGATATTGTATCAGTAATCAAAAAACCTCCCAACAAACAAAAATCCAGGACGAGATGAATTCTACCAAACATTCAAAGAAGAATTAATACCAATCCTTCTGAAACTCTTCCAAACTCTTCTAAACTCATGAGACCAGCATTACCCGGATACACGCTTTTCTCAAAGGATCCCACAAAAAAATTCAGGCATTGATTAACATGGATGCAAAAATCCTCAACAAAATATCAGCAAACAAAATTCAACCATACATTTAAAAGATCATAGTGGAAACATACAGAAAAAATTCCCTCAAAATAATAAAACCCAAGGAGGATAAACCCACAGTTAAAAGCATACCCAATGGTGAAAGTTGAAATCTTTTTCTCTAAGATCAGGAACAAGATAAGGATGTCCACTCTTCTCACTTTTATCCAGCATTGTACTGGAAGTCATAGCCACAATGATCAGATAAGAAATACAAGGCATCCAAATTGGTAAGAAATATGTAAAACTGTCACTGTTTGCAGATTGCATGATACTTTATATGAAAAACCCTAAAGACTCCTTAAAAAAACCTATTAGAAAAAGTGAATTCGATAAGATGCAGAATACAATTAAAATACAGAAATCTATTATGTTTCCATACACTAATTACAAATTATCACAAAGAGAAATTAGGAAAACAATCCCATTTACAACTGCATTAGAAAAATAAAATAGGAATAAATGTAGCCACGTTAGTTAAAAAAAAAAAAAAAAACAAAAAAGCCTATACTCTAAAAAAACCATAGCACACTGATGAGAGAAACTGAAGATGACACAAATAAACAGAAAGATATTCCATGCTCACGGACTGGAAGAACTGATATTGTTAAAATGTTCATATTACCTAAAGCAATTTACAGATTTAATGCAATTCCTACGAAAATACTAATTGCATTTTTCACAGAGCTAGAACCAAAAAATCCTAAAACGTGTGGAACCAAAAAAGACCATGAGCAGCTAAATCTATCTTGAGACAGAACAAAAACTAAAGGTATCACCTCCAATTTCAAACTATACTACACAAAGCTATGAAACTATTATGGTATCCGCTCCAAAAAAAAGACCTACAGATCAAATCGAACAGAATAGGGAACTCAGAAACAAACTCTCACTTACATGGTCAATTAATTTATGATAAAGAGTCAAGAATACACAATGGGGAAAAGACAGTCTCTTCAAGGGGGGCCTGAGTGGTTCAGTCAGTTAAGCCTCTGCCTTTGGTTCAAGATTGAGCATTGGCAGGCTCCCCAATCAGTAGGGAGTCTCCTCCTCCCCTTCCTTCTCCCTCTGCAGCACCCTGCACCTCACATGTGTGCTCTGGTGCATTCTCTCTCAAATAAATAAAATCTTAAAAAAAAAAAAAAAGTCTCTTCAATATGGTGCTGGGAAAACTGCCCAGCAATATACAAAAGAATGAAACATGACTGCTTTCTTACACCATACACAAAAATAAACTCAAACTGGATGAAAGAGCTAAAAGTAAGACTTAAAACCACAAATCTCCTAAAATAAAATAAAAGGTAATAATCTCTTGGACCTCAGTCTCAGCAATATTTTTTTAGATCTGTCTCATTAGGCAAGGGAAACAAAAGCAAAAGTAAACATTTGGGACTACATCAAATTAAAAAGCTTTTACAAGGCAAAAAGAAACCAACAAAATTAAAACACGACTTATTGAATAGGAGAATATATTTGCAAATGATACAACTAATAAGAGGTTAATATCTAAAATATACAAACAACTCTACAACTCAACACTGAAATAAATCCAATTAAAAATGAGCAGAGAACCTGAATAGACATTTTTCCAAAGACTTACAGATGCAAAAAGACACATGAAATTATGCTCAACATTTAAGCATCACAGGAATATAAATCATAACCACAATGAGCTATCATTTCACTTCACACCAGTCTGAATAGCTGGTATATCAAAAAGACAAAAAATAACAAACATTGACAAGCATATGGAGAAAAGGAAACTCATGCAATTTGTGAGAATGTAAACTGCTAAGGCCACTATGAAACACAGTTTTGAAGATTCTTCAGAAAATTAAAAATAGAAATATAAAATCCAGCAATTCCACTTCTGGGTGTTTACCCAAAAAAAACAAAAACAGTATTTCAAAAATTCCATGTTCACTGCAGCATTATTTACAATAGCCAAGATAT